AATACGGATTCTTTTTAAACAGGTCTTTTAATCCTTTTTTCCTTGTAAGGATCTTTGTTTAGAAGTCATGTAATATGCGCTTTTTTTTTTAACTTCTCTTTTCACTATTTTTACAGCCTAAAGTTTTTATGTGTTTTTGGAAGCCTAGTAATGCGGATTCTTTTAATCATTTTTACATCCTAAAGGTTTGTGATTAGAATGTGTGTAATACAAACGAGCCGTTCAAACAGATTCTTTTAAAAACTTTGCTTTAACTCCTAAACTTTTTATTCAAAGGTAATCAGGGATCCTTAAAACATAATCAATATTTGTTTTCATTATTTCCACAAAACAAATATTCTACTCCTATATGTACACATTCAAACATCATGCTTTTCTAACATTGTGTTTATACAAACGAAATAACACCACACAGTAACACAAAGATATCCCCATATTAAAAACATTATTTCATTTCAGACGTATTTCATCCCCGCCAAAAACCAAACTCATTAACATAAACACCTTTTGTTGGGAGGGGGGCTATCCCCCCACACACCCCTCTCCCCCACTGCTCAGACACAAAGGAGCCAGATTGAAAGCAGGGAAGCACAGAGGGTCATAAATTATCACACACAACACTTTGATTGACAGTTTGACAGAAAGTGTATGATATAACTACTTATATGAAATATTCAAAATGATACATTTAAAATAGACGAAGTACCATTTGAATAAACATTTAAAAAAAAAACGCACTGTGTAAACTGCACTTGCTTTAAACTCCTTACATGTTAACACTGATGATGGAAAAGAAAAGCCTGCACAGGGTTAAGCAGTAGACCAATTCTGCATATCAGCATGTAATTTTTTATATATTAGACCCTTTAGTGCCAGTGATAACACTTGGGTAAAACAGGACTATGTTTTTTTTTTTTTTCTAAAACATTGATTTTAAAGGCATTTACCGGAAGAAAATAAATAAATAAATAAATAAATTTAAATATATATATATATATATATATATATATATATATATATATATATATATATATATATATATATATAAAAAATACTATTGTACTTTGAACTGAATCGTGCATTTTAAGAGGATAAAACCTACCCATGACTGCTTGTGTGAAAATCAGCAGGATTCCAAAGATGGCCTGTTTTCTCATTTTATCCAGAGAACAGTTCACTCTGTACTTGCTAGAGATCTTGATCATTAGTGAAGAGAAACTACAATAGCAAGATGAAGCTTCTTTTATAGCAATAATAATGCTTTACTGAGAAGTAGAGGAAGTTTTGTGGTTATTGTAATAACTGCTCACTTCCTGTATTCTAAGTTACTGGACAGAAAGAAAGAGATTGATGGATTGCAACAATTAGCTTTTTTTTATTACAGTAGAAATGTAGAGGTGTGTTTAGCTGGTCTATTAAAGAAAAATCTTTTTAGTTTATTCATAGAGTTTATCAATAAACATCTCTCTGTTGCTAAGTGAAATGTGTTTCTTTATCAACATAAAGTATTTCCGTGATCACCAGCTAGCACGCTTGACTTATCACTTGTGCAATCATCAGCACTGTGGTCTGGTTTTCTTGTTTGAGAAATGTTTTTCACACTTCCATGGTCTATAAACATCTCACAACAGCCAGGTCATTCTGGTCTCATCACAGTCACAAAAGCTGGTCCGTGGTATAGGACCATGGTATCTGATGTCATGTCACTGTTTATCTATTCATCCAGATATGAAATTGATACTGATTCTGAGGTAACCAAGGACAGATTAGTTCATTCTGTATCTCTGGGCAGAAACCTAAGAAGATACCAATATCCTAAGAAGATAAGAATATCAGTTTTGACCTACTCACACTGTTAGTATCTTAGACTGTTGTCTTTAATAAAATGTCTCCACTATAACAAAACTCCGCATTGGACAGCTATAAATTAACACCAAACGTGAGTAGATCAGTTTTTGTTTTTCATCCAGTATTTTATGTTTGCGTAACACACAGTGATATGGTCACATTGTTTAATGGATTTATTTACACAAATCTACAATTTTGTATTGTAGACATACTGTATGTGAATATACATGGTTTTATACCAGCTTTATATCGGCTCCAGTTATCATTATATCAGTTTAATCCTGCACAATTACATACTTCACATTCTTTTTTCCTAATGTTTCTCAGTAAATTCATATTACAAAGAAACTCAGTTTAAAGTGTGAGAGTGACACCGTAACATGCTAATTATAAAATCAGCCTTAATTCTATACATATACTCTATACAGTTTTAGCTTTACAAACACAAACACTTAGATTGGTCAATCAGTTGTGTTTAAGAAAGAAAAGTACTGACACAGGATGACAGTACTTGTTCTTTATTGCTTTATAATGCTTTTGTATATTCTTTGCACATATATTCTATTATAGTTCTTTTATAGTACAACATGCAATATTTTTTGTACTCTTTTCCCCTGTACATGGAAAACTTTATGGACGCTGATTTCTGGACTGTTTCTGGACTCCACACATGGATCCTGTAAATACTGCCAAGTCTCCAGTGTCACAAAACTACAATTTTGTATTGTTGACATACTGTATGAGAATATAATGTCAGAGGCTTTATACCAGCTCCAGCTGTCATTATAATAATCAGTTTAATCCTGCACAATTACATACTTCACATTCTTTTTTCCTAATGTATTCCCAGTAAATTCATATTATAAAGAAACTCAGTTTAAACTGTGAAAGTGAGTGAAACCTTAACATGCTAATTATAAAATCAGCCCTAACTCTACATAAACTCTATAGTTTTAACTTTACAAACACAAACACTTAGATTGGCCAAAGAAAGAAAAATACTGACACAGGATGACAATATTTGTTCTTTATTGCTTCATAATGCTTTTGAATATTCTTTCTACTTTCCCCTGTACATGGGAAGCTTTAAAGACACTGATTTCTGGACTGTTTCTGGACTCCACACTCTAAATAGTCTCCAGTGTCACAAAACTCATCAAATAAGGTCTTTAGTACACTGATTTAATAATAGAAGTGAATAATGAACTGAATAATTTTTAAAAGTTGTGCATAAATAAGAACTGTACATTATAATTTTAAAAAAATAAAGCTTAAGAGAAACCATTCTAAAAAATTAGCATTTGGTTCATCATGAAATCTGCAGGAATCATGAGGCTGGTTTAGGTTTTGATAAGTTGATGTGGATTGAGGAATGAAATTAGTTTTCTCTGTTCCTCATCTGTTATTGATGGTTATATTTTTCTGGTGGTTCAGGGTGGATGAATTAATGTGATGGAGGAGAGCAACTATGGACTTCTTCTGTTCCTAATCCAGATTTACTGAGCTTTTTGATCTGTGGAAGGAAATGACACTCAGGTGATCACTGCATTTACATCACCATGGAAGCTTCAGACATTACATTTTCTAGCTGCTCATGTTCTGTTTTACATTTTGACATATAAACTTAAATATTGATTCAGGTAATGTGCACATTTTCCATGATAGTAAGTATTAAAGTATTACTATCGGTTATTATCTGTTGCCTGTAGATTCTGGTGTAGATATAAAATGCTCCCACTAATAGATACAACAGGATGTTGAATTCACAGAGCCATGAAACACCATGAAACCTGAAAGAGGGAGAGAGAGACAAAGATAATATCTTTATTATAAATACATCTATCCATCTATCTGTCTAGATCATGGGTGTCAAACATACGGCCCGCGGGCCAAAACCGGCCCGCTAGAGGGTTCAATCCGGCCCGCAGGACGAATTTTGAAAGTGAAAAAAACTATGCATAAATATGCTTGTCATTTTTAATAAAATGCTATTCCTAAATTATCCGCTAGGGGGTAGAAGACGCGGCACATCTCTGGGACTGAACAGCAGATGGCAGCAATGTGACGTCTGCTGTTTGTTATCCCGGAGTAGTCTACTCTATTTTCTACTCGTCCCCACACCCTCATTAGCCAAAATGTCTGCCAAAAAGCAGAAAAAGTGGATACAGACTGTAGAGTTTTCCATGAAAAATTGACCGCTTCATATTTATTCACAGAGATGAATGGGTAATAGTTAAAAAAAAATGTGCAATTTAATGTTAGTAAACAGCTTCAGTACAAAAGAGTTTGGTTTGGTGGAATCCTATTGTTCATGCAATACCATAAATTTTAAAGTGAAATACTATATTTTTCAGTTCCAAATACCTGTGAAGTTTTTTTTTGCATTTGTACAAACACTGTGAGCAGTTGTAATGCACATATATGTGAATGATAATCAGAAGCAAATTGCACATGTTTGTCTTAAGAAATGTGAGGTTGTTCATGATATATTTTATAAAAGGATATTCATTAAATATAAATGTCTTTGCATGAAAATAAAGGTAAAAACATGGACTAGTTGTTATTTATAGGTGATTATACTATGATTTTACTGGCCCGGCCCACTTGACATCTAATTGGCCCCTATGTGGCCCCTGAACTAAAATGATTTTGACACCACTGGTCTAGATAGATAGATTTGTGAGTCTAATAAATATATATATATATATATATATATATATATATATATATATATATATATATATATATATATATATATATATATATATATATATATATTACATTACACATATACATACACTGTTCAAAAAAATAAAGGGAACACTTGGAGTTACATTGTGCTGTTTTAAGTGTTCCCTTTATTTTCTGAGCAGTTGTGTGTGTGTGTGTGTGTGTGTGTGTGTGTGTGTTTTGTTTTTTTGTTTTTCCTATGGAATGCCCACAAATATATTTTGCTCGTTTAAATGCACAAAATGCAGCGTGTATTTAAATTAAAAAAATAATAATAATGTAAAATGAGATTAATTTATACAGAGGTGTTGCACTTCCTCATTTATCACCACTAGATGGCATCAAGAAACTCCTTAAACATATGTGCTGTAGACATGTAACGTGGCAAAATGTGTTGTGAATCTCCTAAACTTCTTCTAACTGGCTCGTTGGTTTGGGGGTTTGATTCTCGCTTAGGGTCCGAGAGGTCCAAGGTTCAAATCCCGGGCAAGCCCAATTCTTTTCAAAATCTTTGATATAGATTACATCTATAAGTCTCAAAGTTTAGCATCCAACCAGGCTGAACATTCTACATTATGAAAGTCTCATAAAGAGTCTTGACACTGATCACTGATTAATAGTTTACTGGTTTGAAGGTGTGTGTTTATGTGTGAGAGACTAGGTAGAGTCCAGAGGAAGGTTCTGAAAGCTTTGGGTGAGGAGAAGCAGTAACATCTAATGCAAAGTCTAGTTGCACTGAGTGGCATGCCACTGGTCCGCCCCCAGGAGACATTCCAGGGTTAAAGAAGTGTTGTTGAATGGTGTTACATGGATGACAACCCTGCAGCTGACCTTTGACATATGGAACCAGTGGCACTGATCATGCATTAATGGCTCACTACAACCTTAGTCACTGGGAAAGCCTGTAGGTTTCTGGTTGTTCATGTTGGCAAGGCTGAAGGATGAGCGGTAATCCTATGAACACCGGTGGACGGCTGTCTGTGACATGAAGTCACATGTTTCCCCCATCATAGCCAAGCAGATTTTTAACCTAGTAGAAAAGGGCCCCCTGTACCTATTTCAGAGTAACGGATACAGAACAGTGAATATGTTTTAGCACAAAACAAATAAAGCCATAAAATTCACTGGTTATCAATCTACAATCTCAAGGTAATCTAATACCATCTAATACACCTTCAGTGATAAAGGCTACTCATATGTTATTAAAAATCCTCAATAGATAATCGTATCTTTTTAAAACTTGGGATGCTCCTATTGATGCGAACATTAAGAAATCTTTCCAGATCACCAGGGGGAGGTTTGTGTTACAGTGCCTTCTACTAATATTGGCACCGTTGGTAAATATGAACAAAGAAGGCTGTGAAAATGTGTCTTTAACGTTATACTTTTGAGCTTTTATTAAAAAAAAAATAATAATAATAATAATTATAGAATAATAATAATAATTATAGAATAATAATAATAATAATAATAAATATATATATATATATATATATATATATATATATATATATATATATATATATATATATAGTCATATTTTAGTCAATACTTTGTCAATACTTTACAGCTCTGAGTCTTCTCCTATAACATCTGATGACTTTATTTCGAACGATGAGAGCAAAACAAAAAGGAAACAAGAAACAGGACTAACTCCATAAACTAAGCTAAGATAACTATGCTATGCTATGCTAAGCTAAGCTAGGCTATACACTAACTCTATAAACTAAACACCAATCATGGACTAGGACTATGAACATGGCATGGACCGAAGACTCTCTATATCTATAATCTAGTTCTAGAAACCACTTCTAAGTCTATCTAGTCTCTCTACTCTATCTAAGTCTAATTACCCGCACTGCGTGTAGCACGGCTCACACGGTATCATTAGCCCCACAAGCGCTAACAGCTGCAGGCAATACAATAACGCGTGACCTGATGACACATGACAAGATGGGGCGGAGACATGACGCGGTTCTTCACGGGGAAATCATGACAGAGACCTGATGGGTAATTTCATTGGTCCAATGTGACGAGTTAAATGTTTTGGTGGCATGAAGCTCGTTAGCCCGTAAAAATCCATCTGTAGTGTTCAAAACGTGTGAAAAAGTAGCGGCTTATAGTCCGGAAATTATGGTAACTTGCTTACGATCAAACATGGCTAGTATTACAGGGTTCCTACAGATGCTTCTTTATGAAATTCCAGGATTTTCAAGGACTTTTCAAGCGCTGTTTTTTGTTGTTGTTTTCAAGGACTATTCAAGAGATATTGTCATGTCTTCATACAACTGAACAAGTATGAAATAGTGACTGAAACGTGGCCTATTAAGACTACACGGTAACCAGCAGTCATTTCCAAACTATTTCCAAGCTACTCCTCTGCACTGCTAAAATCCTGATCTATAACCACAACGTCCTCTGAAAAAAATATTCATAACTTAGACAATGGCTGCGCTGTATGATTTACGATATTTGTAAAATTATTCACTCCGAAGGAAAGTTAAAAGTGAATGAATGTGCTGTTCCTCTCTTTCACTCGCCGAACAGTGTAGCCACAGAGAGAGGTAAAAGTAAAGTAGAAAAAGTAGCTAAAGTTTGCCCAAAAAGTTGCTAGATTTGCCACTGGGGGCTGCAGCAGGTTCTGTCATGAATCTGTCTTTAATTTGCCCCAGGTGTCGATGCTTTAGTTTGATTATGGTCACTATTTAAACCCCTCGGTTACTGAGCACTTCGCTCAATATTATGGGTTGTATAGTTTGTATCTAGCGTCTCATGTGTTTTGTTTATGTAGTGAGTGCATGTAGCAGGCTAAGCGGTCTTTTGTTTCAATGCCTTGATTCATGCTCTCGTTTCATGACACGATTCCCGTTTTCCTGTAAAGAGTGCGTTGCCTGCGCATTGTTAGTTTATGAGTTTTTTAATAAAGACTTTGACCTGCATCCGCCTCAATTCCGGAATCCGTAACAATCATGCTGACGCTGGTACGATTTCTACCTCTAGCTATTTATAATGTGTTTAGGAACTGAGCTTAACATTTATTCAGACATTCATACGTAATAATAAAAAAAAAAAACATTTTAAATCATATATTTGCCTGTTTTTGCTAAGAAGAGTGAGAAGACTCACCAGGACATGGGTGGAGTTCAGTGGTATTGTGGTGATGGCTGACGTGATTTTCTACATGACAGGTGACATTTCCATGATGGTCTTTATTCAGTATGACAGTGCTGGTCCCGTTCTCCAGTTGAGGAAGTGTGTTTAAATCAGAAGTCCAGTTGAAACGGAGGTTGTCTCCATCAGCAGAACAGTAAACTTTCATGACTCCAGGGGACACGCAGCTGTACCACATTTTCACTGAGGACACCTCAGCTGCAGATTAGAGATAAACACCTCAGGATGAATTACTATAGGGTTCTATAAGTACTAAACACATTATCAAAGCAAAAATGCAGCAGCAGAAAAAAAGGATTATAGATTTTACCCTGAAAAATGGCATGAAATATTTTTACAAGGCATGGTATTTTCTTGATTATACAATGAATAAATTATTCTCCAACAAACATTTCTGTAAAATGTTTGTCTTCAGAGGTTTTTCACAGTCAAATAAAGATTTAAATTCTAACAATACCAAAAACCTAGATTTTTGTATTAACATTTCTGCATATTTAATTAGCTGAAGCCTCATTTGCCTAAATAAATGTAATTTTTTTTGTTCAATTTTTTATTTTTTTTTATTAATTTTTTTGGTTTGAGGAATTAACTTTATGTTCTCTGTTAGCCATCTGTTATTGATGGTTATATTTGAATGAGACACAGAGTGATGGTTGGTTGCATAGAGGAGATTGCTGAACTGTGGAAGGAAATGATGCTCAGGTGATCACTGCATTTACACCATGGAAGCTTTAGACCTTCAGACATTACATTTTCTAGCTGCTCATGCTCATCAGCGCTGCTCTAAGACTATAAACAAACAAATTAGCCTTGAGATGTTCACCTCATTACACTGTGAGAAAAGCCTGAAGGTACCTGAATGGAAAAGGGAGGAAATGCCAGGGAACGAGGAACTCCGAATCACCAAGACACATATGTGCTTACCAAAATAAGGGTCCTTAAATAATCAGGTAGCTCCCACCTTATTGGTCTGCCGAAACTATACACTGAGCAGAGCCAGTAGGATAGTTAAATCACTTATCCTGCCACACCAGTAAATTCATATTGCAAAGAAACTCAGATTTAACTGTGAATCTGAGTGACACCTTAACATCCTTATTATAAAATCAGCATACATATACTCTATACAGTTTTAACTTTACAAACACTTAGATTGGCCAATCAGTTGTGTGTAAGAAAGAAAAATACTGACAGAGGATGACAATACTTGTTCTTTATTGCTTCATAATGCTTTTGAATATTCATTCTACTTTCCCCTGTACATGGAAAGCTTTATGGACACTGATTTCTGGACTGTTTCTGGACTCCACACATGGATCCTCTAAATACGGCCAAGTCTCCAGTGTCACAAAACTGATTTAATAATAGAAGTGAATAATGAACTTAATCATTAATAAGAGTTGTGCATAAATAAGAACTGTATTTTAGAATATTAAAAAATAAAGCTTAAGAGAAACAACTGTAAAAATTAGCACTTGGTTCATCAAGACCACTGCAGGAATCATGGGGCTGGTTTAGTTTTTGAATGTGGAGTTATTACATTTCTTTTCTCTGTTCCTCATCTGTTATTGATGCTTATATTTTTCTGATGGATGAATTAATGGGATGGAGCAGAACAACGGCTTGGGACTGCTTCTTCTGTTCCTAATCCATGTTTACAGAGCTTCCTGATCTGTGGAAGGAAATGACACTCAGGTGATCACTGCATTTACATCACTGTAGAAGCTTTAGACATTACAGTTTCCAGCCGTTCATGTTCTTCTGTCGTGTATAGTTGGATCTTGTATAGTAGCACTGCTTGTATTGTTCCCTGCTTGATTTATCGCTTTGCTTATTTGTAAGTCGCTTTGGATAAAAGCGTCTGCTAAGTGAATAAATGTAAATGTAAATATTTACATTTTAGAACATGCTCTAATACCTAAATATGGACTCTTGTAATGTGTTTATTTTCCAAGCTAGTACGTGTTTACTTCTTACTCTCAGGTGCCCTCTGTTTCCCGTAGATTCTGGTGTAGAAATAAAACGCTCCAACTAACAAAGACAGCAGGATGATGACTTCACACAGCCACAAACACCATGAACCCTGAAAGAGAGAGTGTTGATTTTATATTATATATATATATATATATATATATATATATATATATATATATATATATATATATATATATATATATATCAACACTCTCTCTCGGGTTCAGAGTTGTTATATTATTTATTTATTTATTTATATAAAAATCTCTCTCTCTCTCCTCTCTCTCAATCGCTCCTGCCGCGCTGGCGCTGAGAGACAGCCCTGCTTCAATGTTTTGGACAGTGGGAA